TGAGCTATCGCCCCGGCCCCCACATCCTTTATTTTTCTACTGTAAAATTTTACCTTAGCATAATAGTACCGAGCTGTTCACCTCAGTACCTTTCCCTGAGGGATACAGGAAGCAGTCTTCATGTTTACCCATTTGGTACAGTGAAAGGCAAGGTGTGCACAGGTGTGAAAGTACCAAACCAGAATTTACACTGTCATTATGCTCCACAGGACACTTTTTGTGTATGTTTGCTTTTTTTTTGTGTGTGTGTATGTTTATTTAAGCATCACAGAGGGTATAACACACCCATACCACTCTAAGGTTTCTGTTTTTGTTTTTGAATTGCTTTTGATTTTTCTGGTAGAAGCAGCCCGGTTAAGTACAATGGCATGTGAAAAACCAGACTTGCAAATTTTGGAGGAGATCAAAAGAGAATCATCAGATTCCTCATGCATGATGATAAGGATGATCCATTATTGTAAAATACATACTACCATAAGAGAAGAGTGGTGTGGGTGGATGACGGTCATGATGCTGCTGATACCAACACAGGGATACAGACCCCCTTGATTCAGATGCTAAACAGCAATGTGAGTACATATTTGACTAGTTGAAATGTTGGGGCTGGGAAGATGGCTCAGTAGAATAAGTACTTCCCTGGCAAGTGCAAGGGCCTGAGTTCAATCCCCGGTTCCACAAAAAAAAAAAAAAAAGTTGCAAAATGGTCACACAACCTAATGGAAGGATCCAATGTTAGACCTAAGCCCAAAAACAAGGTATGGTCTTGGCAGGGGTAAGATGTACTGGACAGAATTCCATCACTGTTACTCAGTGACAGTGACTCAGGGAATTACAACAGAAAAATGCTACAAGAGTCTGTGAAGCACACGAAGGCTGAAGAGCAAGGAAAACATTTTGTATGCACCAACAGCTACATTCAAAAATGTGTGTATTGGGGCTGGGGTTTTGGCTCAGCAGTAGAACACTTGCCTAGCAAGGGGGAAGCCCTCAGTTCGGTCCTTGGCACCAAAAACAAAAAATAAACCTCTCCCAAACATGTATTATGACACCTCACTATTTGAACAGAAAGCATTCATAGGTTTGCTGTACTTAGCACAGATTTCTCATGGTGATCACAGATATGCAAAAGACTTATGAAAGAAAAACGAGTCAAAATATGACATAAAAATGTATGCCTTTATAGATGCAAAGACTTATGCTTTCAATTTCTTTTCTTTTTTTTTAATGTATTTGGTACAGGGTCTCACCATGCAGCTTGGACTGGTAGTGATTCTCCTGTTTTCAGTCTCCCCAGCGTTGGGATTACAGGTGTGCACCACAATGCCCAGTCTTGGTAGTGGGCACAGCACACCTAGGGAGGAGCCGGCAAGACATGCAGTGCTGGGGATCGAACCCTGGTCCCTGCACTTAAGCAGGAGCTTAGTTGCCTGGGCTATCTCACCAGCCTTATGCTTTCAATTTAGAAATGTATCCTGGAACTCAGCCATCCTTATTCATACAATAATAAACCAAATGATGTGGTGAACAGACTTGCTGCTCCCATCTCCCAAACTAATCAGGATGTGACATTTGACAATTGGTTTACCAGTTTCCATTTGATGCTTCCTTCACTAACAGAGCATAAGTTGACCAGCAAAGGGCTAGGGAGATAGCTCAGCAGCATAAGCGCCTGCCTGGCAAGTATAAGGTCCTGAGTTTGATCTCTGGTACCACAAAAAAAAAAAAAAAAAAAACAACTTACAAGTTGACCAGCATAGGAACTTTACACAGGAACAAAGCCAAAATTCCAAATGAAGTGTTGCAATTTCAAAACAGAGAATTGTATGGTGCAATTTTTGGATTTCAGGAAAGTTTACATTGACCTCATATATGGCAAAGAAAAACAAACTGGTACTTCTGATATTGTTGCAGGCAGTCTGAGTTAGACAGAAAATTGCAGGCAGTCAGACAGGGTCAGTCAGGCCCTCCAAGGAAGTAACAGCCAGGCGCCTTACAACTGTGGGAAGGATGAAGGCCCCTGCTGTAAATCAAACCTAAAGACTGGCATCCAGGAGAATTACTGTCTGAAGGCCACCTGATAAGGTCCTGCTTTACATTCATGCCCACTTACTACGTGACTTGCTACTCCATTTGGTCTTGGGCCTAATCAATTTTACCTGAGCAAATGGTGCTCATAATTCCATTTATTAAACATAGTTTTGTCCCTTCCTGCATCCAACTAAGCAAGACCCCTTTGTCTCTACCTCAGCCCCGCATGATTTTGCCCTATAAATGTAACCTAAAAGAGGCAACCCGCTCGGGTCCCCCTTCTGTCCCTCTCCAACAGAGGCTTTCCTTTCCAATTAAGTTTTACCCTCAACCTCCGTTTGTTCCTAAAATTCATTCTTCGGTTTTAGAGAACATGAAGTCATCCAGGCCAAGTCGGGAGTTTGACTTCCCTATATCAGGATTACAGGTGTGTGCCACAGTCTCAACATTAAAATTTTTTTAAATGAAATATTTTGTTTTCCTGTTAAGTGCTCACTGTTTAATATACTAAAATTCATAAAATTAAAATTAATTCACCAATAGACATATTCTACAAGAAAAATGTGGGGGCCAGGGAGATGGCTCAGTAGGATAAGCGCTTGACTGGCAAAGGCAAGGATCTGAGTTCAATCCCTGGTTCCACCAAAAAAGAAAAAAAAAGAAAAATGTGTGTGACGCTTCTGTGGCTATGCTGCAAAATGACAAAAGTGTGCTACACTCCAAGAATCATGCTAGTTTCCTTGAACATAGTGTGCTAGTTTTAAATCTTACATGTAGTATCCAAATATAATGAAAGAATCTCAAGAAACTATTCAGGTTGCTCTTTGAACATTGGAAGATTTGAATCCAGCACAGTGGTATGTTCCTGTAATCAAGAGGCTGAGACAGGAGGGTCCCTTGAGCTCAAAGCCCAGAGCCCAGAGTTCAAAGTCCAGTCTGGGCAATACAGGGAGCTCCTCTCAAAAAAAAAAAAAAAAAAAAAAAGGAAGAGCTGGCCACAGTGGGCTCTCACTTAGATCCTTGCAGATATTTGACTATGCAGTAGTTACCTGGGTTTAGGATTAAAACATAAATGATCATTAGGGGCCGGGGAGATGGCTCAGTGAAGTGCTTCCCCGGCAAGCACAAGGGCCTGAGTTCAATCCCTGGTTCTGCAAAAAAAAAAAAAAAAAAATCGTTAAACTCCATAGATTCTGTTTAGTTTTGTGACTAGCCTGCCCTTGGGAAGACTTTAAAAAAGAATAAGAGGGCTGGTGAGATGGTTCAGTGGTCTAAAGCACCTACTTAGAACAAGCTAAGTTAAGCAAAAGCACAGGGACCTCGGTTCAATCCCCAGCACCACATGCCAGCCAGCCCCGCCCCCTGGTGGGCTGAGCTGGCCACACACACACACACACACACACAAATAAATTAATTAAAAAAAAAAAAAAGAATAAGAATGGGAGGTGTGAATCTAAGACATGGTAACTATGAAGTTCCAAGTATGATCATGGAAATATATGTGAGAAAGGATGGAAGAGAGGGTGTGCCCGAGCTGGAAGGTGCAGTAGACACAGGGGTTGGGGACTTGGGCTTGCCTGAGGCCAATACCTGAATTTGGTTTTTGGTTTTTGGTTTTTTTTTTAAATTTTATTTATTTATGTGTGTGTGTGTGGCCAGCTCAGCCCACCAGGGGGCGGGGCTGGCTGGCATGTGGTGCTGGGGGATTGAACCGCGGTCCCTGTGCTTTGCCAAGCTTGTTCCAAGTAGGTGCTTTAGACCACTGAGCCATCTCACCAGCCCCCAATACCTGAATTTGGAGCAAAGAGAAAGCTAGTGCTTCCTGACAAGGGCTCCAGATGCTAGGTAGTGTTTTCCCCCCCTTTGGTATGAGGAATCAAACTCAGGATCTCCCCTGGCCAGGCAGGTGCTCCAGCCTAGGCAGCACTTAAATGTCAGAGACACAGAAAAGTATCTAACACTAGTGGAAAGGAAGAATAACCTTTCCTGAGTACCCATTTGGACTAAGTTCTTTGGTATAGCTTATCTCTGAGACTACCAGCACAGACAGTAAGATTCAAAAAGATTAACAATTGGGGGACTGGGGAGATGGCTCAGTAGAATAAACACTTGCCTGGCAAGTGCAAGGGCCTGAGTTCAATCCCCGGTTCCCCCCCCCCAAAAAAAAAAGATTAACAACTCAACTGGTATCGTTTAATAGCAGCCCTCTGGGAGTACACATCAATATCCCCTTGGTATGGATGAGCAAGCTAAGACTATGGAAACTGGTCACTGGCCTAGTTTGTCAGGCTGAGACTTGGCAGAACTAAATTCAAACCTGAAGTTCCACAACCAACTTTCTCCTCTCACTAGACATTTCTGGGGAAAAGTTACTGGAGAATCCTGCAATGTACACAGACAGATATGCTAAAGAAAATAACACCTATAGGTCAAGGCGTCAAACCTATCCCCTCAACCCCTACATTAATAACCTCCCCAACACCGTTGAGACAGGTAAGAAGAGATTTGTTAACTTTAGCCCAAAAAGCTGGCACTTAACAAGGAGTCCTGATTATGCTTCTGATCCACAACTTTAGAAGCAAAGGGGCTGATGAACATAAATAACCCACGGGTGGGACTGCAACGTAATTTAACGTCTACATCCAAAATCTGGCCTCTGGGGTGCTTGCTGGTTTGCTCAGTTGTTTCAAGCGCTGCTTGAGCAAACATAGTCGCTAGGGGACTTCGGTTCGATCCCCAGCTCCACGAGCCACACCACACTCACCCTTAAGACAGCCTGAAATAGCCAGAAAAAGAAAAATGACTGACAAAATCTGGCCTCTGGTTTGGTAAAATGGATGTAACGACAGCACCTTTGCTGGAAGAATATGTGATAAAAGCCTGCACCTAGAAGCACTCAATACGATTGTTACTACAGGTACAATAGAGATTTTCCAAAAACTAAGAATGACATGTGACTTAGAAACAGATCAAAAAAGGACCGATTAATGGATAGTGGTGTGATGGGTTTAGGTACATCAGTAAAATTTTTAATAATAAGTTTAAGTGACAAAAATCTAATAGTGAAATGTTCACTGAAACTCCACTTTTTGTACGTTTGCAAATGTTCCTAGCCCAGCGTTGGAAATGCTTTAAGGGGAAGAGCCACATGTGGCTTTTTGTGTTTAAGACAAAAAACAAACTGGGCGACAGCCTCGCGGACCCCGCACAGGGCAGCCCAGGGAGCGAGGCGGGAGCCGGCCCTGCGCCGGAAGGGCGCTGCGGGAGCGAGGCCCGGGCGGTTCTGGCCGGCGCGGGCCAATCCCACGGTGCCTAAATAGCGTTGCTAGGGTGGAAGGGGGTGGGAGAGGAGCGTCAAATTTCAAAAAAAAAAAAATCCACCCACTCCCGCGCCTGAGCTCCGGGCGGGCGGGCGCGATGGGCGCCCTTTGGCTGCGGGACGAGAGGAGGATGCTGGGAAGGAGGTAAAATGGCCACCGGCGGCGGCGCGGAGGAGGAGAGGATGCGGGCACGGCCGCAGCTGCTGCCCCCGGCGCGGCCCGGGGCCACGGGCGAGGAGCCCGAGGGCCCGCGTGAGAAGATGGGCTGGGCCCAGGTGGTGAAGAATCTGGCGGAGAAGAAGGGAGAGTTCCGCGAGTCGCGGCCAGCGCGGCGGGAGGAAGAAGGCGGCAGCGGGAGCGCGGGAAACGGGCTCACCGCCCCCGCGGGCCTGGCGGCGCCCTGTCTCAGCGACTTCCCACCGGCCGGCCGTGGGGACCCGAAGGGCCGTCGGAGAGAGCCGGCAGGCGAGGCCGCAGACTCCCGCAAGAAGAAGGGCGCCGCCGAGCCGCCCAGGAGGAAGAAGGCCGAGGTAGTGGCCATCGCGACCCCCGCCCGGGCCGGCGAGGCCGAAGATGCGCGCGAGCGGCCGCTCACTGACGAGCAGCAGGCGGCGGCGGCCGCGGCGGCGGCGGCGGCCCCAGCGGCTGGCCCGGGCAAGGGACGCTTCCTCGTGCGCATCTGTTTCCAGGGCGACGAGGGCGCCTGCCCGACCCGGGACTTCGTGGTGGGCGCGCTTATCCTGCGCTCCATCGGCATGGACCCGAGCGACATCTACGCAGTCATCCAGATCCCTGGCAGCCGTGAGTTCGACGTGAGCTTCCGCTCGGCGGAGAAGCTGGCTCTGTTCCTTCGCGTCTACGAGGAGAAGCGCGAGCTGGAGGACTGCTGGGAGAACTTTGTGGTGCTGGGGCGGAGCAAGTCCAGCTTGAAGACGCTCTTCATTCTTTTCCGGAATGAGACGGTGGACGTGGAGGACATCGTCACCTGGCTCAAGCGCCACTGCGACGTGCTGGCCGTGCCCGTGAAAGTGACCGATAGGTTTGGGATCTGGACCGGGGAGTACAAATGCGAGATCGAGCTGCGCCAAGGGGAGGGTGGGGTCAAGCACCTGCCGGGAGCCTTCTTCCTGGGGGCTGAGAGGGGCTACAGCTGGTACAAGGGGCAGCCCAAGACGTGCTTTAAATGTGGCTCTCGGACCCACATGAGCGGCAGCTGCACGCAGGACAGGTGTTTCAGGTGCGGAGAAGAGGGACACCTGAGCCCTTACTGCCGGAAGGGCATCGTGTGCAACCTCTGTGGCAAGCGAGGGCACGCCTTTGCCCAGTGTCCCAAAGCAGTGCACAATTCTGTGGCAGCTCAGCTCACTGGCGTGGCCGGGCACTGAACCTACCCCACCCCCCGCACCTGCCAGGGTGAACACACAGCCGGCTTACCCCTCTTAAGTGCCAAAACTTTTTTTTAAACCGTTTTTTATCGTTTTTGAAGGAGATCTTTTAAAGACGTACCAGAGACCTCTCAATGCCTTCTTAAATCGAGTTTACTCCATTTCAGCTTGTTCTGAATTGGTGGTTGTCATCAGTAAGGACTACGCAGAACTGTGTTGTGCAGATGCTGCCCCTCCCGATATAAGATTTTATTTTAATTTTTGTATTTTTTTTCTTGTACTTTTTACTACCCCTCTTCCCACACCCTATCTTCTCCCTGGAATTTCATATTCTGAGCTGCCTTGTTCACCTTTATGCCCAGCGCCCGGCATGGGGTCTCCACCAGTGCTTGTTGGATTGAAAACAATCTTGACTGTGGCTTCTGTCACAGCATCTGCCTTTTGCAGCTCTTTCCTGTCCCCTTTTTGCTGCTTCTAACCTACATGGTCTGAGAATTTGTGAAACCTGTGTTGTTAGAAGTGTTTATAATCCGAATCAATAAGCTCTGAACGGTGGCCAAGGGCCTCTCGTGGTGTAAAAACGCCTGGACTTTGTGACAGCTCCTCTGGTGGCTTACAAGCCATTTTTCAGAGAATCGTGGAAATGGAAGTTTTTTCTTGCTGGAAAGGACCTGAGAGTTGGTTTAAGCCAATCTTTTGCTTTACCTGAAGATGTAACAAACCCATAATGGTTAAATGACTGGGTCAGAGTCATAGAGTTGTCTGGTGCCAGAGCCCATAGTAGAGTCCCCTGAGCCCACACCCGGTGCTCATCCCACTACCTCTCACACTTCACAACAATTTCCTCCACCCTTAAGGGCCCAGAAAGTCTCTCTCCACAGTGATGAACCCATCTGGGAGGGAGCAGAAAGGTTCACCAGGGGCTCCTGAATACAGTACTTGGGAGACAGAAGGGCCCAGGGGACAACTCCAGGATGCATTCGTTGCTCCCTGGGTTACCCCACTTCCAGTAAATGTTCCAGGTCCTTTGGAGCCTTCCCCTTCCCCATTCATTGCCACCAATGAGAAATGGGGGTGTCCCCAGAGTAAAGAAACCTACAAAGGTTTACATTGCACCTTAGCCTCAGTAGCTAGGAACCCTAGAGAAGCAGCCAGCTGGAGCTCATCTGTAGCTCTTGGCCTCAGGAGAATGGTGGTTTTACCCCAGGATTCAGTTAACTCTAAAATGTACTTGGGAATAGACCAAGCAAGAGGACATGGGTCCGCTAAGTATTATCGAGTTAAAATAGAAAAGAGAGTACACTGCTTTTAGTTTTTGTGTTTCCTTTGCTATATATTTTGCTATTTCCTTGTGGCTTAGAATGTTTTGTTCTGAATAAATATTTATCTTTTGTATTGCTAACTCGACGTGCTATTTCCTTGCAGAGTGTCAGGTACACAATTGTACAGCCCTTAGCTCAAGGGCTGTATACACTGTTTACCCTGCAAACACACTGCCCACACCTGCAGGCAGGCCACACGGAACACCTACCTACCGGGTTGTGCCAGGCTGTCTAGCACTGTCACCTATGCATCCTAATTGTTTAGCCGACAGCTAAAACTCGGAGGCCTTAACCCATGTGGAAGGAATCCTACTCAACCCAAAGCGAAGAATTTCCTATTAGCATCCTAAGCATTTGGGATGGGCAGCCAGGTCTTGATAACGCCCTTCTGAGTGGTACAAGATTAGTGAGATGACTGCAGTGAGGTTACAGAGCAGTGGAGAAGAGGGTGGTGGAAGATTGCCAAGTATTGCTAGGTTTTAGAAAAATACCATCTTTTCCAACTTGAGGGGGGTAAGGGAGGGTGGTCGTGACATTTCCCAGATCACCCACTTGTTCAGCCAAGCCTGCCCTACAGAGGCTGGGCCCGCGGCAGAATGGGGTCAGTGCTCCGCAGCCCCTAAACACAGGGGAGGGCTTTGCAGCCCTGAGACGTTGAAGTGAGAGTTAAGTTTCCCAATGGTCTTGGTTCTCCAGCTGGGGGACTTGATAATTTATAGAGCTAAACTGAGTTGAGGCCTGGTGGGACTTAGAGTTCCTGCCTTTGCGTATCAACTCAGCCCCTTTTCCTTCCAGTAGCCCTAAGCAACCAACCTCCACCCAGGGAGGAGGGCTTCCGCCTTCCCATCCTCCCTTCCCCCCATTCTCCTCTGCCGGGGGCCTCCCTCCCTGACAGCTCTAGGGGCCAAGGCAGGGAGAAAGCCTGCTCACTCGAGCTCCCCGCCCCCTTCTGGCGCGGATCCGGAGCGCCTGGGTGGAAGGAACCTCCCGCCCCGCCCCCTCCCCAGCCGGGGAGAGGAGGAAACCGGCTCCCTGCCCATCCCCCCAGGATCCACTCCCTGGCGGGCCCCGAGTGAGCCAGGGGCCCCAGCAGGACCCAGCTCTCCCTACTTCAGCCCTCCCAGAGGGCTGGGATTATAGTCCTGTGCCACTACACTCAGTTTAGAATGTTTCTTGATCTTTCCTTCAGTTTCCCTCAGCCACTGCCCTATTGTAGGTTTTGACTTCCCAACCTTAATTTCAGTGTCCACTGTGTGTCTAGTGTACTTTTTGCTCTCTTCTTAGATTTCATGGTGATTAAAAATAAGCACATGGGCTGGTGAGATGGCTCAGTGGTCTAAAGCACCTACTTGGAACAAGCTTGGCAAAGCACAGGGACCGCGGTTCGATCCCCCAGCACCACATGCCAGCCCGCCCCGCCCCCTGGTGGGCTGAGCTGGCCTCGCGCGCGCGCACACACACACACATAAAAAAAAAAAAAAAAAAAAAGCACAATGCCTGGCAAGCACAAGGGCCTGAGTTCAATCCCCAATTCGGCGAAAAAAAAAAAGCACAATCAGCTGGGCCTAGTGGCACACACCTGTAATCCCAGCACTCAGGAAGCTGAGGCAGGAGAATCACTGAGTGAACTGCCTCTCAGCAGTTCCTTTACAAGCAGCTCCTGGATTTCTTCCCAAGCTGATGTCAGAGGGCCTTTCCACCTCTCCTATCATATCCACGTGTGGCTGACAAAGAGCAGTCAAAGGCGTTCACAGCCTCATGAGTGCGAGGTGATGAGGTGACATGAGACCAAGCCAGGGGCAAAGCTCCGCAGGGGAAAGCTAACAGACACAGCCGCAGACTGGCAGACCGTGTAGCACCACGTGCTAGCCAGTCATTGCAACTAAGATTGGGGAAGCGCACAAACATTTTATGGAGGAGAATGAAAATGGCAGAATTTTAAAATATAGACTAACATCTTTGGAAAAGTAGCTCTGTCTTACCAAAATTTTAAATTCACATAATCTTTTAACCCAGAAATATTATTTATAGGAAATGAATATATACTTCAAGTTGGATATGTGCACAGAGATACATATACCATGGACATACAGCTCAATGGTAGAGCCTGAGTTCAATCCCCGATTCCGCCAAAAAAAATTAAATTAAATTTAAAAAAAAAAAAAAGTTCTTTAGCTACTCAGGAGGCTAAGGTAGGAGGATTATAAATTCAAGGCTAACCTGGGCAACTGAGCAAGACCCTGCCTCAGAATTAATTTTTTTTTAATTTTATGTATTTGATACAGGGTCTCACTACACAGATTGGACTCTTAGTGATCTACCTGTTTCAGCCTCCTCAAGGCTGGGACTACAGGCATGTGCCACCACGCCTGCTTGCAGTGGAATGCTCTGTGCTTGCCAGGCAGGTGAACTGTCTACCCAGACCAAAATAAAATTTTAAAAAGGCTTTGGAATGTAGCTCAGTGGTAGAGCCTTGGCCTAGCACATGGGAGGCCCAGGATTCAATCTTCAGTATCGTGAAGGAAGAAAAAGAAAGGAACAATCTCTAAGAAACAATATTAAGTGAAAAAGACAAAATAATGATTTGCATTTTGAAATAAAGGAATATATTCATAAGCCTATGTATGCAATACAATAGCCCCAGAAGGATGTTAATGTATTAATCATTGTAGCTTCTGAGAATCATACTTTGGGTTTGGGATGGAAAGAAAATTTAATTCAACTATATTTATCCTTTTTGGTTTGATTTATACTTTCACATATTAGCTCTACCAACAAAAGCAAGTGTAGAACACAAGACTTCGAGAAAACTCCTGTAGATTTTACAGGGACAGGAGCACACCCCAAGCCCCCAGCATTTTTTCCCCTGGAGGTGGGGCTGGTACAGCCTTGGTGCCTGGAATCAGACTGCAGTCCCTGCGTATTTGCCTAAGCTTAGATGCTGTAGACCACTGAGCTATCTTGACAACCCTCTTGTCTTTAAAAGGAAGAACTTGTATTGAGGCAGCCTGGGATATGTAAAGAGTTTAAAGCCAGACTGCACTACATAGTCAGACCCTCTCTCAAAAAAATAAAAACCCAAAACAAAAATCTTTCAGCCGGGGGTGATGCTGCATGCCTGTAATCCCAGGATCACAAATGCAAGCCCTGCTTGGGCAGTTTACCAGTTTAGCCAGACCCTGTCTCAAATTAAGAAAAAAAAAAGTATGAAAGGGTCTGGGGAAATAGCTCCATGAGAAGGTCCTGTGTTCAGTCCCCAGTACTGCTAAATAAATAAGTAAAAGGGCTGGGGTTGTAGCTCAGTGGTAGACATCCCTGGCCTCTAGCTTAGGGACATGGGGAGCACAAAAAGAACTTTGAAAGCAAGACTGAAGAAACTGCACAGCAGCTAACTTACTGATCTCCCTGCTTCCAAGCTGAGCTTCCTTCAACCCAAGGAAATCAACCCCTAAATGAAATTTAATCAGGCTACTCCCTGGCTTAGAGATCTTCAAAGCCTTTGTGTCCTCCCTGGGGCCCAGTGGGCCCTGCCTGACCTGCTGGCCTCCTCCGGGCCTCCTCTCCAGTCAAGCCTCACCCCTGGCCCTGGTGTGGCTTCTCCATCTGCTCCAGCTCCTATTCCTGGAATTAGACCTCTCCCTCTCAGGCCCATGGTTAACCCTTCCCTACCCATGGCTAAGCTCTGAGACCACTTCCTAAGGAGAGTCTGTAACCTCCCAGACCAGACCCTATCTCACGCTCCTCTAGCTCCCTGGGCCCTCCATCCAGCAGCTACTGCTGCTGTAACCATCTGTTTATTTGTGCCATGCTTTACATGGTTATCTGCCTCTGCCCTCAACCCTGAGCTCCCTACAGGTGAAGTCCAAACTCTTTCGTTCACATATGGAGCTCCACCATTCAGCACTGGGCCTGGCGCACATAAAAGCCTGATAAATATTCATTGTATGAATGATCTGGAAATTTCTTGGCTGAGGATACAGATCAGGACATGCGTCTGTCCTTTAATGCACCTCAGTACCTCTCTTGCATACCCATCACAGACTCTGCATACTGAAGGACTTATTCATTCATCTCAGCTACTCACTCACTGAGTCTTCTCATCTAAGGGTATCCTTCAGCCTGGGAAGGACCAAGCCATCCTCTGTTTCTCTTAAACTCAGCCTGTGGGTCCCATGGCACTGGGACGCACATAGAGAAGCACTGGTCTCCTGGGTTCCAGCAGGGCCCTGCCACTCCTCCCCATGGGATGAGGATTCTGCAAACACAGCTGCCCACCCAGAGAGTATACCCACTCTTCTGCAGCCCTGACACCCTGTAATTCCCTTCCTGAATCCCTTCATGGACCTCACCCCCATGCTTGTTGCTTTGGAAGGCCATCTTCATGATCTGATGCCCACCTTATAGACGTGAGCTTTAGGCTTCACAGTAGCAGTCTGCAAGACATAACTTGGCTTTTGGGGCCTGGGGTGTCCACTCATGGGGGCCCGCTCTCTCATCCATGGGACAGGAGGGAGCTGGACTAGAGCCAGGTACGGGATGAAAAGCGTATCTGTTTGTGCCAACACATGCTGGCTGAGAACCCCAAGGCTCTAGATTCCTAGTCTGAATCTGGCCTTCTCAGATGCTGTGAAAGTGTATCCAGAGAGGGGCCAGGGAGATAGCTTGGCAGTCTAAGCACCAGAGCGAGGCCCCAGGGTCGATGCACGCACAATAGCTCATGCTGTGCCAGCCTTGCGCTGAGCAGGTCACCAAAACCGGGCATGGTGGTGCACCCCTATAATCCCAGTGCTGGGAAGACTGAAATAGGAGGATCACTACGAGTCTGAGCTGCATAAAGACCCTGTACCAGAAAGATAGATAGGATATTATAAAAAAGAGAAAGCAGAGTACGATTCACTTAACACTTGCTAGTTTCTTTTTGTAACTTCTATGTGCAGACAAATAGTATATGGGCCTCTGCTATGGCTTGAATTCCCACCAAAACTTGAGTTGAAATTTAATCCCCATTGTAAGGTATTAAAAGGTAGGAAAGTGGGGCCTTTAGGAAGTGATCAGGCCCCAAGGACTCT